AAAAAAAAAAAATTTGGACAAATCCATCAATAATAAAGCACTGTATGATACATTTTCTGCTTTTGGTAACATCCTTTCATGTAAGGTGGTTTGGGATGAAAATGGTTCCAAGGGCTATGGATTTGTACACGTTGAGACACAGGAAGCAGCTGAAATAGCTATTGAAAAAATGAATGGGATGCTTCTAAATGATCGGAAAGTATTTGTTGGACGATTTAAGTCTCGTAAAGAAAGAGAAGCAGAACTTGGAGCTAGGGCAAAAGAATTCACCAATATTTACATCAAGAATTTTGGAGAAGACATGGATGATGAGCACCTTAAGGATCTCTTTGGCAAGTTTGGACCTGCCTTAAGTGTGAAAGTAATGACTGATGAAACTGGAAAATACAAAGGATTTGGATTTGTAAGCTTTGAAAGGCATGAAGATGCACAGAAAGCTGTGGATGAGATGAATGGAAAAGAGCTCAATGGAAAACAAATATATGTTGGTCGAGCTCAGAAAAAAGTGGAACGGCAGACAGAACTTAAGCGCAAATTTGAACAGATGAAGCAAGATAGGATCACCAGATACCAGGGTGTTAACCTTTATGTGAAAAATCTTGATGATGGTATTGATGATGAACATCTCCGGAAAGAGTTTTCTCCATTTGGTACAATCACTAGTGCAAAGGTTATGATGGAGGGTGGTCGCAGCAAAGGTTTTGGTTTTGTATGTTTCTCCTCCCTGGAAGAAGCCACTAAAGCAGTTACGGAAACGAATGGTAGAATTGTGGCCACCAAGCCATTGCATGTAGCTTTAGCACAATGCAAAGAACACCAGGCTCACCTCACTAACCAGTATGTGCAGAGAATGGCAAGTGTACAAGCTGTGCCCAATCCTGTAATCAACCCCTACCAGCCAACACCTCCTTCAGGTTACTTCATGGCAGCTATCCCACAGACTCAGAACCATGCTGCATACTATCCTCCTAGCCAAATTGCTCAACTAAGACCAAGTCCTCCCTGGACTGCTCAGGGTGCCAGACCTCATCCATTCCAAAATACGCCTGGTGCTATCCACCCAGCCGCTCCTAGACCACCATTTAGTACTAAGAGACCAGCTTCTTCACAGGTTCCACGAGTCATGTCAACACAGCGTGTTGCTAACACATCAACACAGACAATGGGTCCATGTCCTGCAGCTGCTGCTGCTTCAGCTACTCCTGCTGTTCACACCATTCCACAGTACAAATATGCTGCGGGAGTCTGCAATCCTTGGCAACATCTTAATGCACAGCCACAAGTTACCATGCAACAGCCTGCTGTTCATGTACAAGGTCAGGAACCTTTGACTGCTTCCATGCTGGCATCTGCCCCCCCTCAAGAGCAAGAGCAAAAGCAAATGTTGGGTGAACGGCTGTTTCCTCTTATTCAAGCCATGCACCCTACTCTTGCTAGTAAAATCACTGGTATGTTGTTGGAGATTGATAATTCAGAACTTCTTCATATGCTTGAATCTCCAGAGTCTCTCCATTCTGAGGTTGATGAAGCAGTGGCTGTACTACAAGCCCACCAAGCTAAAGAGGCTGCTCAGAAAGCAGTTAACAGTGCCATTGGCGTTCCAACTGTTTAAAATTGATCAGGGACCATGAAAAGAAACTTGTGCTTCACCGAAGAAAAATATCTAAACCTCAAAAAACTTAAATATTATTGAAAAAAAATTGCAAAATATAAAATAAACTAAAAAAGGAAAGGAAACTTTGAACCTTATGTACCGAGCAAATGCCACGTCCTGCAGATAAAATGCTAGTCCTAGACTACCTATTGACTTAAAAACAACAAAAGAAACAAAAAATAGTAAAATATAAAAACAAATTCATGTTTTATAGACCCTGGGAAAAAGAATTTTCAGCAAAGTACAAAAATTTAAAGCATTCCTTTCTTTAATTTTGTAATTCTTTACTGTGGAATAGCTCAGAATATCAGTTCTGTTTTAAGTAACAGAATTGATAACTGAGCAAGGAAATGTAATTTGGATTATAAAATTCTTGCTTTAATAAAAATTCCTTAAACGGGAAAAAAACAAAAAAGAGTAGGAGAAATTAAGTGAAAGGCACATAAACTCTTTATATGGGCGGTGCCTGTGGCTCAGTGGGTAGGGCGTCAGCCCCATATACCGAGGGGGGTGGGTTAGAACCCATCCCAGCCAAACTGCAATGAAAATTATAGCTGGGCGTTGTGGGTGCCTGTAGTCTCAGCTACTCCGGAAGCTGAGGCAAGAGAATTGCCTAAGGCCAGGAGTTGGTTGCTGTGAGCTGTGACGCCAAGGCACTCTACTGAGGGTGATAAAATGAAGCTCTGTCTCTTAAAAAAAAAAAAAAAGAGAAACTTTTTGTATCATCGTTGCAACTTTTCTTTAAATTTAAAACTTGTGAAATTGGACAGTGCTGTGGCTTGAAGGAGTAGGATGCCAACCCCATATGCCAGAGGTGGTGGGTTCAAACCTAGCCCCAGCCAAAAACTGCAAACAAAAAAAAACAAAAAAAAACCTTGTAAAATTAAATGTTTATTAAACAAAGAATAATAACTGCATTGATTGAAGCAGTTATAAAAACATGATTTATAATGAAACTAACAACAAAAATCTTTGTTGATCATCATTGACGGCATCAACTCATAACTCACAAAACTGATAAAGAAGAAAAATGAAACATGTATTCTGTCTTTTCTGTATGTATTATGACTCAGAATAAGCAAATAACTGAGGAGGTAAAGTTCCTATTTCTGAGAGAATTATGGCTAATAAATGCAGAAGAAAATAGTAGAAAAATACCCATTTTGTAGTTTTCTTTTTGTTGTTGTTGAGACAGTCTCACTCTGTTGCCCTGGGTAGGGTGCTGTGGTGTCATAGCTCACAGCAACCTCTTGGGCTCAAGTGATTCTCTTTTCTTGCCTCAGCTTCCCAAGTAGCTGGGACCACAGGCACCCACCAGAATGCCTGGCTAGTTTTTCTATTTTTAGTAGAGATGGAGTCTCTCTCTTGTTCAAGCTGGTCTTAAACTTCTGAGCTCAAGCAATCCACCAGTGTCAGCCTCCCAGAGTGCTAGGATTACAACTGTGTGCCACCATGCCTGGCCTCCATTTTGCAATTCTTTAATGAAATCATGAATACTAGGGAATGATTACTAGATAAAAGGTTGATGGGGATCTTTATCATGGGTGGATAAGCTGGCACCATCTGCATCCACTGGTCAATCTTAGCAGCAATCAAAATGAGATATGCGGTCATAATGCACATCATAATGTCATATGGTAGGAAGTACATAGCACATTTTCCATATATCTTTGCCTAAAAAAAAAAAATATCTCTCTCTCCCTCTCTCTCTCTCTCTCTCCTAAATCTAATCAAATCTTTAAGTGTAATTATTGGTTCACAGGAAATACAGGGAACAAAGGACAAGTTAAACAATACTATGAGGAAGCAATTGACCAAATCCAGAGTGCTAGACAGTGTACAGAAAAAAAAATGACACTTTCTTCAGCAAATCAGTGACATTAAAAAAAAAAGAGAAGAGGGCCAGGAGCAGTGGCTCATGCCTGTAATCCCAGCACTTGGGAGGCAGAGGCAGGTGATTGCCTGAGCTCACAGGTTCGAGACCAGCCTGAGTCAGAGTGAGACCTAGCCTCTAAAAATAGCCAGGCATTTTGGCAGGCATCTGTAGTCCCAGCTACTAGGGAGGCTAAAGCAAGAGAATTGCTTGAGTCCAAGAGGTTGAGTTTGCTGTGACACCACGGCACTCTACCGAGTGTGACAAAGTGAGACTCTGTCTCAAAAAAAAAAAA